TTAACGTTAACTAACTAAACTAATAATTAATAGTAGTAGTAACTAACGTACTACCGTTACCGTTACGTACGGTACGGACGTACGTTACTTGTTGGTGTGTGTGTGTGTGTGTGTGTGTGTGTGTGTGTGTGTGTGTGTGTGTGTGTGTGTGTGTGTGTGTGTGTGTGTGTGTGTGTGTTTTAACAGAAAAAGTTAGAATTTAAAAACTGAATGTGAAGTTATTTATATTGGACAAACAAAATGTAATTTAGAATATTGTTTAGGAAAAGCTAACAGATGAGTAAGAGACAAAAAGATTGTAAATTCAGCCATAGCAGAGCATGTACAAATAAAGCAACATAAGATATGGGAAAAAAACAGTAAGTTGGTTCAACCAAAGGATGTTAGAGCCAATAATATCTATGAATCTTTAGAAATAATAAAATATAAAAAAATATCCTAAATTATTACAAAGAAATAAAGGTCTGGCAAATATCTGTGTAAGAATGTGAAGGGATCTCCTCTAAGAATTATGCATAAATATTAAACCTAAACGTAGGTCACATGACCTTGTTAAAAAAGGTATAAATATGACTATTATGGCTTGCAATTTCACTCCTGATGATGACATTAACTCGTTGAAACAAACTTTTCTGGAGGTCATAGACTGGCCTGAATTGAAAATGTTTTTAATTGTGTATCTATTGTAACACTGTGTTATTTATTATTTCAATTTATTGTTCACAGACTTAGCTTGCTTCTTTACATGGATTGAAATTTCTAATTTTTAGTTAATACATCAGTCTCTCTCTTTATCATGTCTTCCAATAACCCAACTGTACCATGATCTTTTATTTTTATACAGTATGTAAAGGTAATAAATAAATTTTAATGGACCCTTTGTTTGTTTTATTGACAATTACTTTGGCAACTAATTTTCAATAAAGAAACACCTGTTTATAACTTGTACCTTATGGTGGGCTTTGCCTCAGAATAAGCTTAGAGAATAGTGGGAGGCCTTTTTGAAATAGCTGTAGATTATTTCTAAATGGGAAGCAGAGGTAATTTTATACACAAGACACAGAAGAAAAATACCTATTTCATTAGCTTAAAAAAATTTCATAGCAAAATTTCTTTTAACAAAGTGGGTTAGCACATGACATCATTAGGTCTGTAACTGTATATTGTTAATAACTGCATATGAAATCTGGTTTTAAAGTCAACAGTTATGGTCATATTACATAATGGTATACCTCTATAGCTGTATTATGTAATGGCTTTTATTGTTATAATTTGTAACATTCATCGGTTAACATGCTTATGTTTGAATTCTGTTTCAGATAGTGTCATTTAGGAGATACAACTAAAATGAATACAAGTACAATTAGTTGGTAGGCACAGGGTTAAACCTCAGTTAATACAAATTTCTTCTCAATATTAAACAATAACAGCTTATTTTGTTTTCACACAATTCCATTTCACAAATATTTTTTTATTAATAACTCAAGTTTTCCACTCATTTGCAAGTTTTGCATTTTTGTGCACTATAATTTTCTTAACATTACTTCATTGCCAAAATATTAATGTTTGTAAAATGAATTATGCAAATTATAAGACATTTTGGTAAGTAACAATTGTAAATTCTGATCTAAGTGTATAATTTTTTTTCAAAGCATATGATGCACTTATGTCTTTTTTTTTCATTACTTCATCATTTACCTGTAAAAAACTGTGCAATCTCTTCCTTTGAACACCCAAAAGGAAGCCCCCGAAGCCTCACACAACCATCACTTAAAGCATCTTGCTGATGAGCTCCAGTTCGTTTAATTACCCAGTTCATTTCACTTTCTTTAGATCTGAAAACTTTTCCAAAAACATGTGCATAATTATAAATTCGAGTTATGGCAAAACCAACAAACACCCCTTGTTAAATAATCAAATATAGCAAAGTCTGAAAGAAAAGAAGTAGATACATTTAAAAAAAATCTTAGCTCTTACATTTTGGCCTTCCTCAAAAACATGAAAAATATAAAAAAAAAAAAAAAAATACACGAAAATCTCAATACAATTTCTTGCTTTTCACTCTCTCTCTCTGCTCAGGTTTAAGTTACATATTTCAACAGCTTATTCTTATTAATACTTACATTTTGTGCATTAAATCTTTTCTGAAAATTGGAAGCCAGTAGCCAAGAAGTCTAGTCCTTTTTATTTTACTATACCTGCTGTTGTTTTTTCTTTTTATATACACATTTTGGATAAATTTTATGCCTGTTTGATTTTACTTGATACTGATAACACTATAACACAGATTTTTAAGTGCATCTATATTCCTATAAAATCTGGTATGGTTAAAGAAAACCAAAATTTCAGAGGATACAGATGTAACAAAATGTGTATTCTGAAATGCAACTGCACAACATTTACAAAAAAACATGATAAGTCTTACAAGTTGGATTATGCATCTATATTTAAGGTAATTAAACATAAACAAATGTTTAATATGAAAAATTCATCTTCACGTACCTTCTATATATCTGTGTCCCATGTGTTCATTATGTTTTTCTAGTGCTTTTTTCACATCATCCTCACCATAAACTTCAATATAAGCTTCTCCACTTGGTCTTCCTTCACGTGATAATGTCGTGTGAATACCATCTTCTCCCCCCAAAATCTTAACATCTAGTTTGAGAAATAAAGGCTTCAATTCAACAATTCAAAGGTATAATTCAAGAAATCTGTCAAACAATTATTCTCATTTCTGCTGGTAATGTCAAAAGTAAATATCTATAATAGTTGCATTTGTAACTGTCATTGAAGACAAGCATCACATTCATGGGAAAATTAAATGTGAAGTGTTAAAAAGTATCTTTTCACTTCGTGCTTAGGACCAGAGACCGACTTTGTAACCATTTTGTGCTTGTTAGTTTCCATGTACAACTTTTAATACAGTAATGATATCTTCACAAAAAATTTTGGCAGATTATCAGTAAATATTACAAGGCTTTCACATGCAAAATATCAGATTTTTAAAAATATGTTTTAAGACTTTTTGAGTGATGTTTTTTCATGCATTTTTTCTTTTCGAATGCTGACTATCCAACATACAATGTAATTTTTATTTTAAGAATAAAAATACTTTTATGAATCAGAAAATTTTCAAATTTCACATGCAAAACTTTTATAACCTTCAGATTATTATCAAGTGTTTTTTTACAAACAACTTTATATTTCATCTGTTATTTTCACTATTATATCTCTGTACAGGTTTGATCGATTTGACTGACCTCGTAACCAACATACAAAATAAGGAAATAGATATAAATTATGCTTTTTTTATTCTAGAATGACTACAAATATAACACAAAAACATAAATGTTTAGTCTTAACAGCTTAATCCTCATAACATTATACATTTACACACACACACACACACACACACACACACACACACATATATATATATTATTTTTATTTTATTGATTTGCAATGACAGTGCATATATACTGAGGTTATCATCTTCAAGAATATAAAACTGGCCTCTACAAAGTGACCTGTCTTGGTTGTATTTTAATAGGCCAGTATTTTTTAAAATATAGTCACACTTCAGTTATAATACATTATATATCTATATAAATTATTACTATTTAAAAAT